CAATCCCTAAAAACAAATCTGTAATCCCTAAAATAGAAATAAACCATAAAACTTCCAAACTAGTAAAGGGGAAGAGTGGAATAAGGGAGAAAGTGGTTTAATTAAAAAAAGTGATTTTTATTTTAATTTTCAAAAGAAACAGAGAAATGTTGAAAAAGTGAAACAAGTAGCAAGCAGAAAATAAATTTTAAGATAAAAGGCATTTCTAGATGTAATAATGTTCGCCATACATTGTTAAGAAGTATTAGGAAATAGCAAGAAACTAGTAACAGAGCTTCAATAGAAAGCAAAACTGTCAGAACTAAAGGGAGAAATTGGCAAATTTACCATCATAAGGAGAGATTTTTTAACATAGTACTTCTCTCAGTAACTGATCAAGCAGACAAAAAAATCCATAAGAATTTAGTTGATTAGAACCACACAATTAATAAGATTGTTCTAATGGACTTATTAAAATGTTAATTCAACACCTAGAAAACTCTATTTAAGCACACATGTAATACTTACAAAAATCGACTGTCATGAAGCCATTCAACAAATCTTAAATTATTATGCAGACGACATTCTCTGACTCAGCACAATTGAGTTAGGATTTGTTTTCAAAATGTATTTTATTATAAGTAGTATATAGCTTGATGTTATTTTCTTGACCCAATATGACAATCTTTGTCTTTAAGCAAGTGTAACCTGTTAATACCTACTATGACTGGATATGACCGTGGATCCAAGACAGTGAAAATTTACTTGTAGGCCTTTCAGGCAGAACCTTCTAAATCTCAATGTTCTAGTAACAGTACTTGATATGCTGCTGCTATTATTGTTATTAGCTTTCAGTATTTTGACCCCCACTCAAAACTGTGCACTAAAAACTGCTGTGCCCAGTTCACACCCTTTAGGATGGTTATTAAAAAAAAATAAAACACCAAGTGTTGGCAAGGATGTGGAGAAATTAGAACCTTTGTGCATTGCTGGTGGAAGTGAAAAAATGATGCAGCCACTGTGGGAAATATGATGATTCCTCAAAATTTTAAACATAAAAGTACCATATGATCCAGCAATTTCACTTCTGGGTATATACACAAAAGAAATGAAAGCAGGGACCTGAGTAGATACTTGTACACCCATGTTCATAGCAGCATTACTCACAATAGCCAGAAGGTGGGAGCAGTCCAAATTGCTTCCATCAACAGATGAATGCATCAACAAAATGTGGTATACAATGGAATATTATGTGGTCTTAAAAAGGATGACTGGATACAGAAGTTGTGGTATATTTATACAACAGAATACTACTCAGCTAGAAAAAAATAATAAAATAATGCCATTTGCAGCAACATCGATAGACCTGGAGATTGTCATTCTAAGTGAAGTAAGCCAGAAAGAGAAAGGAAAAATACCATATGATGTCACTTATATGTGGAATCTAAACAAAGACAAATGAACTTATTTACAAAACAGAAACAGACTCACAGACATAGAGAACAAACTTATGGTTACCAGGGGGAAGAGGGTGAGAAGGGATAAATTGGAAGTGCTAGATTTGCAGATACTAACTACTGTATATAAAATAAACAGCAAGTTTCTACTGTATAGAACAGGGAACTATAGTCAATATCTTGTAGTAACCTATAATGAAAAAGAATATGAAAATGAATATATGTATGACTGAACTATTATGCTTTACACCAGAAATTGACACATTGTAAACTGGCTATACTTCAATTTAAAAAAAAAGGAAGTATATTCTGACACCTGCTACAACGTGGATGAACCGTGAAGACATCATGCTAAGTGAAATAAGTCTGTCGCAAAAGGGCAAACATTGTATGATTCCACTTATATGAGGTACCTAGAGTTATCAGATTCATAGCAACAGAGATAGAGTGGTGGTTGACGGGGCGGAGAAGTGGGGAGTGAGAGGTTAATGCTTACAGAGTTTCAATTTGGGAAGATAAAAAAGTTCTAGTGATGGATAGCGGTGATGGCTCCAGAACAATGTGAATGTACTTAATGCTGGGGAGCTATACACTTAAAATAGGTTAAAAAGATAAATTTCATGTTGTATATATGTTTTTATGTGTGTGTATATATATATATATATAATATATATATATATATATATATATATATATTACCATAAAAAAAAAACCTCCTGTGCCTATACCCAGGAATAGTCTGTCTCTGTTCCTGGGGTGTTAATATAATAATCAATCTTAATACTTTGAGAAAAGTCAACTCTGTTATCCCTTTCTAAAGGTGATCTTACCACAGCACAGAGGTCAAAAGAAAAATATTATCTAGGAATGCCTTACATTTGTGTGACACTTTATATTTGAAGAAAGGCTTTTATGTATCCAAACCTATTGAATCCTTGTGACAGCCTTATAAAGTGTGTTACTCCCTTTTAATTGATGGAAGAAAGTGAAGCCTAAGAGATTAAGTTGTCCAAGATCACGGGGCTATTAAGATTGCAAAGGTTCAAATACTTATTTTCTGACTGAAACCATTGATCACCCAGCATGCAGAAATAGTTGTCAACTTACTATGAACTTTACACTTAAAATGCCAAAAGCAAAGTGCTATGCTTGTTAAACTGAGGAAAGAAAAGAAAAAGAAAGATAGCATCATTACTTTCTCAGTGACCAAGGAATAATGATTATACTGAATTTATGCTCTGAAACCTATTAACCTATTTGTGGCTTCTTATAATGCTCTCTTTCCAAACCTTGGTCACATTTAAACTCTGGTTGGCTGTTTGTATTTTTGCACTTTAGCTTCTAAAAATACCCTTTAATTTGGGCGTTGAGGGAGCTTTCCCTTAAAACTCGTCGTCTTAGGTGGCAGCTCTTCAAATTTTAATCAAATTCTCAACCATTTTTGTCTGATTCTAATAAAAACAAGTAGCCAGGTTGTTCTCTCATTGTTATGCAAGAACTGTTTCATTTGGGGTCTTAAATTTCCTTTTTTATTGCTCTCCTTGGAGTGGATAGCTAATGTAAATGGGAGAAGTCTGGCAACGCACCATCACTGCCCTTAGTGATGTTATGAGCTGCCCCCCCTAGAACAAACGGCTGGGTCAGTGCAACCTCACGCACAAGCTCTAGTTCCTCTCCCTTTGCGACCTGCCTTAAATAAGTCAACTCAGAGTCCCAGCTCTCCTGCTTCACAACTCTGACTCAGTAGCCCTCCCTGTCCCCAGGAACACTTGGAACTCATGGAAGAGGGGTGACATTGACACCCCCTTTCTGTGAAAAAGCCTCCCTGCGAGTATTAACTAACAACAGAGATAACACTCCCTGAGGCAATATAATATGCAAGAGGTTTCTCATCTCGATGGTATTCAGAGAAAGAACTTGAGATTTTGCACTCCCTGGACCCTGGTCCTTCCCGCTGTGTGGGAACCTGTAAAGTCAACACCAACAGGTTAAACATTGAACATTCAGAGAGATGGTCCCCCTCTTCCGTCTTTCAAGTTGCTCCAGCTACCGTGAGGTGAAAACTGGACAATCTCCTTACCATTGCATTTACGGCACAGATTCTGAAGTCAGATCTCCCACCTCGAGTATATATATATATATATAAATGTTTGGAAACACTTTATAGCACCCACAGCATTTTGGGACTCTCTTCTCTATTTTACTATGAAATTCACAAGGCAGAGTTCTCTGAGTGGAATGCAATGGAAAAGTGAAGTAATTTTACCCCCAAAATCTTATACCTATCATTCAGGCAACACCAGGAGAACTTCTCCCTTGGCTAGATCTGATTTATTGCTTTTATTCCAATAGCTCACATTTAAGTACCTCCTCTGTGTCAAAACTGTGCTAAGCACTTCACATGCATTATGTTATTTAATCCACACCACAGAGCAGTGTGGTGGGTACTAACTCATTCTCATCCTTCACACACACACACACACACTCACACACACACAGAGTGGATGCTCAGCAAATGAGTAGCTTGTTCTGTGTAAGACTGTATAAACCCATCTCAAAGAGATTGTCTTTTACAACAATCCCTATGGGAGTTTTATGATCCCGAATTAAGGAATTTTCAGAATCAGGCTTTTCAACCCCTGTCAGTACCTTATACATTTTACTATTTTCTTCTTTCAGCAGCAGGGAGCACCAACTTTCATATTGTTATTTCATGCATTTCAGATCTATTATTGTTTTCCCCTCAACTTTCTCTTCTGCATGATTTAAACAAATAATAATAATAACAGCAAATCCAGTTAACATTCCTCCGAAGTTATATTCTCTAATGCCTCAGTCACTTTGCTTTCAACGTCAAACTTTATTCCATTTCCTATATTCTGAAAGATATGAAGCAGACACTCATTATTTGCCATTGTGGAAACATAGCAAAAAGTAATTCACTGGCAAGCAAAAATGGACAGTAGGTCTATGTTATTAGTGAAGCAGTCTTATTTTTAATGCTGCTTAAAAGATAAAGGACATTATGAGGTCAAGCTTGTTTTTAGAAAGAAGCTTTTTTTAAGTAGTAAAGATATTTTATTCTGGCATTTATATAATTTCAGCAAGAGATTTGACAACCCATTTAACATAAAACTAACAAGCTAAGTATTTACTGAACATCTACTTTGTTCTCAGAATTTAAAGCAAATATAGGCTATGTATAATAAATGGTTCCTGCCCTGATAAGCTTATGATTTAGTGGATGAGAGAAGATAAACATATCAATAAATCTAATTTCTTAACCAAGGCCATACTTAGTAGGTTCTCTTACCTTCCTTCCGGTTCTTTAACAAGACCTGAAAATTCATTCTTTAAAATGCATCTTGAATCTGCCCTCCTCTTCAGAGAGGCCTGATTTTGAATTTCAGAAATACCCTAAATTTATACTTCGAAGATTAGAATTTGTTTCTCTTCATTTATTGTCTGGTAGCTGCGATCAGTTCTTAAATCTGGATCGAAATGCTGAGAGATACTTCCTTGCTGCCCACTTTAAGACGTATCTTTATGTTCCTCTTCCATTAGAGTCATCAGAAATCGGGCCTTCCCTTGTGGTTCACACCACTGTCCCATTTGGAGTTGCACACTTGGAACAGAGCATTGAGGATGTGCAGAAGTTAATCTTCCAGCAGCTGGAGAACATTTTGCCTGGTTTGCCTCAGCCAGTTGCTACTAAATGCCAGAAATGGAGACATTCACAGGTAATCAGGGAAGCCAGGGGTATGAGTGCTGTTTCTTAACCAGGCCTGACTTCACTTTTTCTCATCCTTTGCCACTTTCTAGGAAAAGAAATGGACAAGTGATTTGGGAAGCAAATATGTATTTGCCTAATATAGAAGTTTACAATTACCCTGATTTTATTATCCTGTTAGTTCTCAATGAGAGATGCATACAATTTCCCCAATGTTATGTTCAAATTCTAGCATCTCAAGACATACACCCTGAAAATCTGGGGTTTCCTATGCAGGCAAGGCAGGTTATATATCAGAATGCAGCTGTTTCTCTGGGGATTTTCTAAATCAGTACTGTGGTTATATAGAAACCACTGTAACCTCCCAAATTTTTGCAATATGCCAAATTAACCTCATAAGTGTATTTTGCTACCACAATTTTCATTTTTATTAAGTTCCCACTTTGGTTTTGATGGCTGCCAGCAGAGCTCTTTGGGGGAGAAGGATAATACCTGCATAGGTTGGCTGGTTGAGCTGTTTTTCAGAGTTAGATAAACCTGCTGATCGCTCTGCTAATTCAAACCTACAAGCTCTTTATACTAAAAGTCAATGCTGACTTTTCTGAAAATATCTGCATATTCCAACAGAAGTTTGTGAATATTCATAGAAAAAGTCTTTTTTCTGTAAACTCAGTTGTGAGGTCGTTTGGGGGCAATGGAGCAAAAAGCAGAAAGAGAAAAGACGCAGTGATTTGTCTGTTTTTAACTAAGATTTCTGAGTGTATCGATTAACTGACTTATCAGCACTATTGGTTACCCAAGCTGTAAAGCTTTTAGAAAAAGTGGTTGTGAGAAATTGGAGAAGATTTTGTATATTTTAAAGGGCTTTCCAAAAATCAGAGGAAATGGTAAACTTCCTAAAAATATTGCAGCAGGTCTGTGTGTTTACCTATATCTTCTCAAGTTAAATTATACAGTGACTCTTTCAGGAAAATATTTACTTAAACACATCATGGTCACTTTAAAAGACTTTACTTTTTCCCTTAAAAGAATTTTAAAAATCTCAATAGCTAATGTCCTTAAGTGATATTTAACTCAATTTTAGGTTGGCCTCAAAAAGAAAACAAGGAAATAATCTTGTTGATATAATTGAAGCTACATGTGTTATATTTGCAATGTATAAATATTCTTTGAAAAGAAACGATAGCTTGTGAATTTCTTCTTGTGACTTCTTCAAAATAATTTATTAATAAAATGAAAAGATGGGTTAAAATCTACTTATTTCTTAAAATATACTTCATTAATAGAAATAGATTTGACCTATCCTCAAAATGACCTAGTTAAAGTTGTGCAATATCACAAAATTTAATTTAAAAAAATCTTTGGACACAAAGTACATCCAAACCCTAACAATGATTTTTATTACAATTTGGATGGTCTCCCTTGGAATGAGCCCAGTACATTTAGAGCTCTGCAGTCATGAAATCTACATGGGCTGCAAAGCCTGAAAGGGAATAAGATGTCATTCAAATGTAAAGGTTTGCATGTTCCGCTATTCATAGTACCTTGAGCATCATTCTGCAGAATATAACACTGTCATTATGGCAGAGATCTTACCTACATTGTTCAATAGAGAGAGAGAGTGAGAGAGAGATCTCCCACATCACCTTAAAAGAAGAGATAATTAGTGACTGGTCATGAGACTTAATAACATTTAGCTAGTTAGGTTTCAGTTATTTATTCCCCAAGATAACATTTCTCCATGATGAAGTTTTTAAAAGGTTCATCCTAGCTCTTGAAATTTGATGTAAATGTATGTAACCCTTTTTCCTTTCCATCCCAGGACACAAGATCTACCTTTGATGAATTCATAGATGTTTGTGCATAAATATGGTCCAATATCGGCTTACATGGAAGAGAAGGATGGTATAGAAATGGGGACAAAAAAAAAAAAAAAAAAAGAACAACTAACTGATTTCAAAGTTTCCCTCATTTCTGATTTCCCTGCAGGAGAATCCCTCCTTTTATTTCTTCCAGCCTGGCTCCCACCTTTTTTTTTTTTCCTCCCTCTGTCCTGCTTCACTCAAACCTTTCCTGTTTTTCACACTCCACCCACTTCCTTCTCTTCTTTCTCTCTGACAAACAAATGATCGAGCCCTTCAAACCCTCATATTGTAAAATCCTAGGTAGACTCCAGAACTGGAGTCCCCGCCCTAGGCAGCAGTGAGTGGTGTGGATTCCCACTTCAGGCCTCTCGGGCTGTGCTCTCCATCCCCGCGCCCTTTTCTCTTCTTTTGTGATCCTTACCCTGCACTGTGCCACTCAGGGACTGTGCAGGGTGGGGGAGAAGAAAAGAAAGGAAGGGAGACCCCAGTGATGAGCACCCATGGTGCGGCGGGCCTGGGGCTGGGCGATTCAAAGATGTGATCTCATTAAAGAACAACAGTAGCCTTAGGACGTTGCTAGTTTTAACCCACAGTAGCAATGAGAAAAACTAAGCCTCAAAAACATGAAATAAATTCCCGAAGGTCCCATGGCTAATAATGACAAAACCAGTCTGCCTGCCTCTCCAGTGCTTCCCTCCTCTTCCCTGACCCTCTGTTTTCCTTGGCTGCTGTAACAGATTACTACAAGTTTGGTAGCTAAAAACAACGCAAATTTATTATCATACGGTTCTGGAGGTCAGAGGTTCAAGATGGGTCTCAGTGGGCTGAAATCAGAGTCTCAGCGGGGCTGCGTTTCTCTTTGTAGGTGCTAAGAGAGAATCCATTTTCTTGCCATTTACATCTTCTAGAAGCTGCCCACAATCCTTGGCTTGAGGCTTCTTCCTCCATCTTCAGAGCCAACCACAGCTGGTCAAGTCCTTCTTGTATTACATCACTCTGACCTCTTTTTCTGCCTCACTCTCCCTTAAAGGACCCTTGTGATTACACGAAGCTCACCTGGGTAATCCAGACACTCTTCTCATCACAGGGTCAAGTGTCTAGCAACATTATTTCCAGCTGCACCCTTTCCTATTTCTTGGCATATAACATAACATTTGTAGGTTCTGGGGATTAGCATGTAGGGGAACCTTATTTCTGCCTATCACACCTTTCTTTCCTCAGAATCCCTTGGTAGATTCCGTTATGAGGCAGTATCTCCCGCTCCTCTCATAAAACCTCTACGGAGAGCACCAGCCGTTTAAGGCTTAAGCCACTTAAGAAGTAGCTGCTCTCTGAAAGAAGTAAGGGACAATTTTGTGGCAGGGACACAAAATAGTCCCTTAGCTCTTGTTTCCTTTTTCCCTGATGTTGCTGTCCCATGCTTTCTGCTGCCCCTAATGTCGTATAGCCACAATGACAGCAGGGAGGTGAAGGATGTTTGTTCATATATTCATTTTGGTTACTCATTTATTCAATAAGCATTTAACAAATGCCTTTGACATGTCTAATACTCTGCTTCTGGAACCCTAGAGACTAATACTTGCTGAAGGCCTTCACCTAAGACACTAAATGAATTTTTTGTCTTGAGTAAGATAATGCTGCATTTTTGTGGATGCTGCCCTCAAGGAGAGAGGCAGATGAAGAAAGAAGGCGTGTTTGAAAGACTTTGGAGCTGCCCTGTGCCTCCCATTTGGGCTTTGGATGAAACACTTGAGTAGGTGGTTCAAACAAACACAGCATAGCAATGGCAGATGTTTTGATTCTAAGTTCCTCCCTTTTGCAGCTCTTTGCCTTCCATTATTTAAATGTTTATCCAGTTAATATAATTTGATGCCTAGGCTGTGATGCATTGAATTAAGATTTCTGTAACACGTATGATATATTAATCCTTTCAGCAGAAGAGTAATAACTGAAAACACCTTTCCATGTACCTGGACAGAGGACACTCGATCAGTTTGATAACTCTCCCCGATACTATTTGCTGTGCTTTCCTTTGTTTCAGGGTCTGCCACGATGCCTTTCTCAAACTATAGTAAATGTCTGATTTGCTTGCGAGATTAACTCTCATTTTCCCCCATCTTTCTGTAGCTCCTGAAAATGTCAGTGGCCCTTTTCCTCATTTAGCACACTCATGGATTACCTTATTTTTTTTTTAAAAAATCACTGAATGTATTTTGAATACCAAAGAGTTCAAGAGAGGAATTTAGGGGGAGGGGAAAAAGAAGAGGGAGATAGTAAATGAATATGTTGGTGTCTTTGGCAAAATAAATGGATTTGGACGAGCCTATAAAGCTTTAGCAGTAAAATCAGAAATTAATTATCTTCTGTAGTTACACTTCTTCACTTAGTCTTTTGCCCTGAGAGTGTACTTTCTCTCTCCTCAGTGGTGGTCCTTTCATATTTTTAAAGAGAAGGATCATGAGCTCTTTAAGATCTGATAGAAGCTATGAATGTGAAGATTCTCATCCTTTCAAAATATACATGTACATCTGAACTATGTGTGATTTACTGTACAGAATAAGTTCCTTAAATATATATATACATATACACATAAACACAAAAGTGTATATAATTATGAAGCTTTGTAAGCAACTTAAAAGTCCTCCCATGAATCCTGCATTAAGAACACCTGCTGTAAACGGTACACTATTGTAGCCCAAGTAAATCAAGAACTCCTCATGGCCCAGTCTTGTGTTGTAGTCGAAGACACAAAATTCAGCAACCGGGAGGACTGTAAAGCAATTCTCATCTTTCTAAACTTTAAAGAATATCCAGAATTCACCATCCTCAGCGGTACTTTCTGAAGTCTCTCTGCTCATTCCCTATGTTTCCTACTTCTGGAATCTCCCTCAAATCTTTGTGCATCCTTGACTCTAGTTTTCCTAATAACCAGCCATGTGGACTTATCTCTTTTTCTACCTTTCCTCTTCTCCCGGAAGCCTCCCATTCACATTCCTCACTTTTGACTCTATCTTTTTTTTTTCCCTCTTGACAAGTAAATCTTAGACCTTTTCAATGCCAGTTCCCTATTTTGGCTTCCTCAGATCTTCCCCAATTGATTACCTCAGTTGGCATCATACTGCCCAGGAGTTAGAGGGAATGAAAG